AGGGCTAGTCGCGACTTCTGGGGAAGGCTGGCTGCTTATTTCCACCAGACATGCGCATTGTCAGCTATTTCAGCTACAGCTCGCTCGTCTGCGGTTGTGACGGAGCGTGAGTCTTTCGCTGTCATCCTTTGTTTGCACAAATTAGCTGATCAGTGTTTACCGGCTCTCCTTTAAAGTTTGCTTCGAACCTGAAATACTCCCAAACTGCAGAAGTTGTGCTGTTTTTAGACACCAAGTCAGCTGGTGCGTGAGCTGCCATTTTTCCTCACGACACGTCTCTGCACTGTCGCGTGATGAAATCACGTTCCTAAACTTTATGGAACGTCTCTCAATGTTGGCCAAAACACTTTAAACTCTTTGAGTAAAGCAGAAAATTCAATCACGGATGTGTTTCATACATTAAATGACTTTTATTTGTCATTTTCATTTAATCCTCATACCTTTTCACTTCATGAGTTACTTTTGAACCATGCAGATCAAAGGGATCCATCGAACGCGAAAACAGTGACAGGAAGTCACCAGAGCATAGGTTCTGAGCGCTAGCCTAGACGGACGCTGAAAGTCCACATAAATAATGTAATATAGGTTGAAACTGGATATTTTTGGGCCCCCCTTGGTGTGTAAGTTGAGTGTTTCTATGGGAGCCCATCACCCTTTCAAGAGTCGGGTACCCCCTAGCTCCCCTGTAATTTAAACCCTGTTCAACCCTTGTAGAAGAGACATTAATAGTAGGGTTTTTGTTAATAAATGAACAGTGTCTGTGCAGATGCCAAATGTGTTTAACAAAAAAAAACATTTTTGTTAAATTGGTTGATTTCCCTACATGATAAATTTTAAATGAAAGACCAACTTGACCTGTTCCTCTCTGCATGCCGGAAAAAAGCTTTCTAAAATCTGGCTGTTACCTGGATGACATAATACTTTCATGATTGCCTTTTCAGGTCTAAACTAACAAGTAAAATTAACTTTAAAGCACTACGAACCAGGTTTCGGATAAGCAGATATCATACTTACAAGCTAAAAACAACAAATCCCAAATCAGAGCTGTGGTACCTACAGAGCATGCACAAATAGATGGACAAATTGCATTTATAGAGATTAATTTCATACTTTAACAAAAACAACCAATTCTCTTGATGCGCTGCAGCTTTTACCCTCATAGGGATGTTTGTTTGTAGAAGTAAATAGGCAAACTGTATGAAGAAATATTGATTCTGACAACAGCCAGTAGATAAAATACCACAAATATAATGCTAATAAAATATATGGCACTTCACATTGTCTTCATACAGAATCTGCAGCACACTTGACTAATTTTTAAAGAGAAACACTAATTGTGTGTGTGTGTGTGTGTGTGTGTGTGTGTGTGTGTGTGTGTGTGTGTGTGTGTGTGTGTGTGTGTGTGTGTGTGTGTGTGTGTGTGTGTGTTTGTGTGTGTCACACAGTAATCTCACAACACGGTGCAAATTAAAAATGCTCCACCCTAAGTGATGTTTTTTCATGTCTGAGCCTGCATTTATCCACCTGAAATTAATTCTCTAATTTGTTTGTAAGATACAGAGGGAATTCTTGAGATCCCAATCCACTTAAAGCATCTCGTCTGCTACTTTACATATCTGTTCTGAAATGCTGATTTGTCCCTGAAGACTCCTCCCAGCAATCCTGCTAGTCATTAGCATTGAAATGAAGAGCGAATCTCAGCTTGTCCTTGGGGCTCAGCAAATTTTCCTTCTTTTTTTTTTTCCTCAAGTGCCAGTTTGGAAATGTTTGTGCCGTCTGTGTTTTCCTTGGCTGTCTAATGAAAGTAACATTAGGAGGTAGATTTTTATGTTGGATTCTCAACCGTCACACGCCGAGTGTCGTGCGACTCGTGCTGTTGACACCCACTGACATTTGTCGGGGAGAGTGATGACATGTTTGTCCAAACACACAAACCAAGAAACTGAAAGCTGCCAGACTTGTCACTGTGGTGCCATCGCAGCCGCTCCGTGTGAAACAAATGCTAACTTTCAATCCCAAAACTTTTCACGAAGTCACTTTGCATTCCTCCTCAAGGCTAAAAAGTCTTGCTCACCTTCATTAAAGATGTTTTGCAATAACTTTGTGACGTTGGCAACCTTTCCAAGTCTTAGCTGCCGTGACTGAATTCATTATCGACACAGACTTTTGGATTTCAATGTGACTAATGTGTTTCAGCTCCAAATAATAGCGTGTTTTCCAGAACTGTCAAAGGGAAACAGTTTGTAGAAAGAATACCATTTGGTTAAAACATAGTTGCATCGTTTAAATACATGCTGCTGCTGCAGAGCGTTACCCTTTTGGGACAGTTTTTTGTAGTGATCTGTTTTATTTTTACAATAAGTTTGCTCATTAAAACCAAACTAAACGTAAATGCATACACTATTAAACTTAATTCTTGAAGCTACACTAAATGTAGTCTTTCATTTATTGAAAAACTGGTATAAAGTTACATTTATAACCACTCTGCAACTTTAACCAATATTATCCAGTTTAGCTAAACGTATAGACTGTTTGAAAGTTGGGCGGCTTCCATTTGTGGTCCCAATAAGACAGAATATTTATTTATTTATTTATTTTTTATTTATTGACATATCTTTATAAGGAGGATTGACCTCTTAAGATGAAGCATCTCATATTCAAGCGGGTCCTCCACTATTTCAAATCAAGCATGTACAAAACATCAGATCGAAGATCACAGAGAGCGTTACAACCTCAGTATATATAGTCAATGGTTACAACACACACACACACACACACACACACACACACACACACACACACACACACACACACACACACACACATACACACACACACACACATACACACACACACACACATACACACACACACACACACACACATACACACACACAAGGCTCAACACCTCTACAGACATGGAGTAAAGACAACATCAGGTTTTATCTAATAAACAAACATGACTGAAAAATAAAAATTAAATACATGCACGACCAGTGAGAGCAGAAGTCAAGAAAACATAATTAGTAACATAGACAAATGTTCTGAAAACCATCACTCAGGGCTCTGCAACACATTTTAAATGAAGATATGGATCGGAGAGATAAGGGAAGACTATTCCAATCATAGGGGCCTTAAAACAAAAAGCATATTTCCCTTCCTCTCCTTTAACTCTAGGAACAACAAAAAGATCTGATCATTATGTTGCAGACCGTGAAGGGAATTGTAACGTACCAAATGTAACTTAAGATAATCAGGGTGGTTAAAATAAAAGCTTTTGGAAATAAACTGAATCCAGTGAAACTGTGTACATGCCAGAGGTTCAGTCCTTGAACTAGTGAACACACTTCAGTCATCCAGAAGGTTGAATAGCTTCAACGTTCAGATAATAATAATAATAATAATAATAATAATAATAATAATAATAATAAAATGTTGTGTTACGGTAAACACTTCAACAAAATGACTAAACACAAAAAAAATAACTCATTTCTAAAACTCCACAGTCACACCACTGATTAATAAAAATAAATACTAACATAAAATACAAGTCTACTTCTTACAAGTGATAAATGCCCTTTCCTTTTTGGTGACTGCTGGTTTGTTAAAAATAATGTTTATTACTTTATGAACAGAATCATGAAACCCTCCAATGTTTTTGGGAACATCTGCAATGTTGCTGGTTGTCTTTAATTGTCCTAAAAGAGAAAACAGAACCTCTTTCAGACATTCTTCACTGACCTTGAGTACTTTACCCACGATTTTATTTGTTTAAAGCAAACCTGCACAACACATTTCTGTGATGGGTGAGGCCTTGTCTTTGGGAAAAAAAGTTTTTATTCATCAGTTTAGAGCTGACTTTCAAAATGTTGTACTTTGTTTTGAGAGTGAAATAAAGTGATGATGCAGCAATAATTTCATAACCCAATTCACTGGAGGATTCATTTTAACATAACCCTAACCCTAACTATAGGCACATGTTTGCCATGATTGAAACTTGTGCTAATAATGTCCAAGGACAGGTTTTTTTTTGACTAATATCAACTTAGGACTGAGTACTTCTAACCATTGGCCAGGGACGGTTATGTCTAACCATTGATACTGCAATGCTAAAGAGCAGGTTCACTGAAAAACCATTTTTTACCAAATGTTTTTGTAATAAATAAATTGAGTGATCGGTCACTCTGAGTTTGACATGCAGGCTGAATGTAAAAATAGTTTTGTACACTTATTTCCTGCAATAGCGTCTGGTTAGTGAGCAACAGCCTGACAGATCATGACGAGGGAAGGCTGTTGTTGGTTTAGCATTTAGGAAACGGTAGAGAACATCCCGGCAAGTAGAAGCTAACCCTTAGCATTAGCAACGCAGCAGAACTCCTCCAGGCCTGTGTGATTTGTGGAGATAAACTATCAATGTTACAAAGTAGTCAGTGGGAAAGTTGCATTGCTGTTAGCCAATCAGAGGAAATACTATGTCTAAATATCAAGAAATAAGACTCCAAAACCTGCCGTCTGAAGCTAATTTCTCCTCCAGCTGACTTCTATGTCCTGAAACATGTGCACCAGAGCTTTTTTCACCAGAGAGTAACTTACAAGGCATTCAACCCTACTAGAGACTACTGCATATGTGTTGGAGATATGGTGAAGTTCACCTTTAACATTAGATCATTTCCTTGCTGTGCTTTGAAATGTGGACTTCAGTTTTCGTTTACCTCCTTGCATTCGGTCTAGCGTCTTGCCCAAGGACACTTCCACATGTGGTGGGGAAACTGGGATTTAGCCACCAACCTTTTGACCAGCAGCTGACCACACCTCCTACGTAGATGCTTGAAAGTCACAGACAAGCTGTTGTGGTTAAAATGAATGAAGTCCCATTCGTAATAGTTTAAATGTTGCAACATGTGGATGTCGTGTTTATCAGTCAATTTTAAATAATTCAATTCCTCTAGACAACGAATCAGCATTATTGTTGAAGCCAAATATGTTTGTGTGTCTTTTAGGCCAACGAGAGACGACTGTCAGAAGAAATGCTGGTCCCAGGTGCCCTAGCGCATCATCACTGGGACCATGGCGACTCCTTGGCAAATAAAAAAAGAGAGGTGCTTACATGGCTTCGCCAGCCTTATTCGATGGTCGGCGTCCTCCTTGATGCTCTTATGGTTGCCGTGTGTGTTGCTGTGGCTGCCGTGGCCCACCAAAGCTGAGCAGCTGAACGGCGGGGGACCTGGTGGAAAGGTGCCTCACAGTTCCCTGTCATCTGCCGCGTCTTCGTCACCTTCCTCGTCCTCATCATCACCTTCCAGCTCCTCAGCATGGGGCTTCAACACGAGGCAGAGTGGGGGGCAGCTGGACTGGCTGCTGTCCGAGAAAGGACCCTTCCACAGATGTCCGGAGTACACAGAGTTCAGAGAGAGGTTCCAGCAAGGGTTTTCTACAAGATACAAGATTTACAGGTGAGAGGAATGTGTGTGTGTGTGTGCGTGCGTGCATGTGTGTGTGTGTTTGCATCAGCCAGAAACTGTACACTAGGATTTAAAAGATACAGGTGCTGGCCAGTAAATTAGAATATCATCAAAAGGTTGAAAATATTTCAGTAATTCCATTCAAAACGTGAAACATGTACATTATATTCATGCAATGCACACAGACCAATGTATTTCCAATGTTCATTACATTTAAATTTGATATTCATAAGTGACAACTAATGAAAACTCCAAATTTGGTATCTCAAAAAATTAGAATATTCTGAAAAGGCTGAATATAGAAGACACCTGCTGCCACTCTAATCAGCTGATTTACTCAAAACACCTGCAAAGGCCTTTAAAAGGTCCCTCAGTCTTGTTTTGAAGGCACCACAATCATGGGGAAGACTTCTGACTTAACAGCTGTCCAAAAGACAATCATTGACACCTTGCACAAGGAGGGCAAGACACAAAAGGTGATTGCTAAAGAAGCTGGCTGTTCGCAGAGCTCTGTGTCCAAGCACATTAACAGACAGGCGAAGGGACGGAAAAAATGTGGTAGAAAAAAGTGTACAAGCTCTAGGGATAACCGCACCCTGCAGAGAATTGTGACGACAAACCCATTCAAAAATGTGGGGGAGATCCACAAAGAGTGGACTGCAGCTGGAGTCAGCGCTTCAAGAACCACCACGAGGAGACTCATGAAAGACATGGGATTCAGGTGTCGCATTCCGTGTGTCAAGCCACTCTTGAACAAGAAACAGCGCAAGAAGCGTCTCGCCTGGGCCAAGGACAAAAAGGACTGGACTGATGCTGAGTGGTCCAAAGTTATGTTTTCTGATGAAAGCAAGTTCTGCATTTCCTTTGGAAATCAAGGACCCAGAGTCTGGAGGAAGAGCGGAGAAGCACAGAATCCACGTTGCATGAGGTCCAGTGTAAAGTTTCCACCGTCAGTGATGGTGTGGGGTGCCATGTCATCTGCCGGTGTTGGCCCACTCTGTTTCCTGAGGTCCAGGGTCAATGCAGCCGTCTACCAGGAAGTTTTAGAGCACTTCATGCTTCCTGCTGCTGACCAACTTTATGGGGATGCAGACTTCACCTTTCAACAGGACTTGGCACCTGCACACAGTGCCAAAACCACCAGCACCTGGTTCAAGGACCATGGTATCCCTGTCCTTGATTGGCCAGCAAACTCGCCTGACCTTAACCCCATAGAAAATCTATGGGGTATTGTGAAGCGGAGGATGCAATACGCTAGACCCAACAATGCAGAGGAGCTGAAGACGACTATCAGAGCAGCCTGGGCTCTCATAACACCTGAGCAGTGCCACAGACTGATCGAGTCCATGCCACGCCGCATTACTGCAGTTATTGAGGCAAAAGGAGCCCCGACTAAGTATTGAGTGCTATACATGCACATTCTTTTCATGTTCATTCTTTTCAGTTGGCCAACATTAGAGAAACAAACATTTTTTCATTGGCCTTTAGAATATTCTAATTTTCTGAGATACCAGATTTGATGTTTTCATTGGTTGTCACCTATAAATATCAAATTTAAATGTAATAAACATCGGAAATACATTGGTCTGTGTGCATTGCATGAATATAATGTACAAGTTTCACGTTTTGAATGGAATTACTGAAATATTTTCAACCTTTTGATGATATTCTAATTTACTGGCCAGCACCTGTAGAGCGGGAGGTGATATCTTCGCTGAAAGCTGTGTAAGCCTGCCAAGTTGTGCTAACCTTCCATTTTGACCTTTGACCCCCTTAATGTAAAACATGAAATCCCGTTGACATCTCTTCTCATAAGATGCATGTCTCTGAGCTGAGTGGAGTAAACCTAAAGCGAATCCCTAGGCATGTTGGGATCAAAATAGCCAAAAAGGTTAAAACATCTAGAACATAAAAGAAAAACCCAAAATGGCAAAGGTCATATAAAAAAACCAGGATACTCTCACCCTTCTATCCCAAAGGCTTTGTGTTGTGGAATAATTTGAATAAATTAATAGAAATTTGTTTGTTTTTTTCATTAAAACATTAGTAAATTCAGTTCCGCAGCTGCTTTGGTCTTTTAAAGTGAATGTTTATTCATTTTCAGAACACTAAAAGCTTGATAGGTCAGAATCCAGTTATCCATCCATCCCAGATGAACGCTGCACTTGCAAATTTCTGAAAACGCTGCATGATTTTTTATTTTTTGTAAAACACAAATAAAGCTGTTACCAATTCAAAGTAAAGCTCAATCAGCCAAATGCCAGCTGCAGAGGTTAAAGCAAACATTACAGGGATGAATGCTTTGAAAATACCTCAGTGAACGCAGACCTTCTATGTTTTGCATGTTTTTTATGCAACAATGCCTATCTTAAAAATTCAATCAGCATTCTCAGTGGGAGAACCTGTAATGAAAAGCTCTTTGAAATTACTTTCAGTCCCCCAAAAGGCATTACTGTCAAACAGTTTTTTTTTTTTTTTTTGGTTCAAGAAAAATTGCTGGCTGGATTAAAAATATACATAACTTCATCTCCAGCAGCGACTTTTTAGCTGGTAAAATCTAACAGTAATGGAACAGGAGACAAAGAATTAAACATGTCCTTTTTCTTTTTGGGATTATTCTTATCAGTTTTAATGCAATGTCTTAATTTGGTGAACAAATAACTTTATATTAAGCTCTGTGATTAATTTGGTTTTGATTATTTTCAAAGTCCGAGTTCCATATACTTTGATCAAAATATTATGTGTCAATGGCAAACAACTTAGGAATTAGGACCTCTATCAAATTCAAAACGCTGGAAGAAAGAGACATGTACACCTCAAGGTGCACTTTGGACTGAACGGCGTTAGATATTCTGCAGCATTTAAAAGAAAACATGCACATCTTCTGTTGCTGTAGCAAAAACTGTCTGATTTCATAGAAGTAATGCATATTTATTAGGGGTGTAACACTATTGGCATTATTGGCAATATGGTTGTAGTAAAATGACCATCATATTGTTGTGGTCTTGTCAAATATATTGTACAGAATGTCTTGAGGGAAAATAACACTTTTCAGTCCGCTCCACCAGCGCACCGCAATGTCAACTACATAGAACATGATCCTTTGCTTCTGCATCATTGGCCAGTGTATCAGATGGGGGTGAAGCAGAGCTGGACTTGTATTGTCAAGGAACCACCATCTCACTATCTGCTTGTCCTTTGAAGTGATGGAGGAGTAATGCAGAGCAATACCCACTGCTGTCATCATTAGCCAAGAGGTATCTTTGTATAACCGCTACCTCAAAACCTAGTGAAAGGGTATTTTCAACAGCAGGAGGCATTGTTACTGCTCAGAGATCTGCCCTCCTCCTCTCAAATGTTGACATGTTAATCTTTCTTTAAAAAAATAACTGAAACTGGAACAGAACCCTAGAAACTAGAAGATTACTGTAGCTTACCTTCCACACCTTTCCCTTTGGTGATGCCTGGGTATTTTTATTTATTGAATGGCTTGTTTTACAATGCTTTTATTTTTGCTGTTTATTTAGTACCTGGGTTGCCTATTTTATAAACATGTATTGAGATGTTACTTGAAATTTGCACTTTAGCATTGGCTTTTCAGGCTGTTCAAAATGTCATATATGTAATAAAGTTGTGTCAGGACGTGCCGGTGAGTGGAGCGGAGGTGAGGATCCAAATGCAGGGGAGAAGGCAGGCAGAAACGTTTTAGAGGGATTTTAATCACGGATACACGGGACATGCAAACAATGAGGCAACAAGAGACACAGAACTGGAGGGATTTAAATACAGGAGGGCTGGGAGCTTGGGTGATTGGGAAACGAGAGGCAGGTGGGAGCAATCAACAGAGACGCAGGCTGAACCAAACAGGGAGACAGGACAAGGCGTGACAAGTTGAAGGCAAATGTATCAATGACCGCTCAAAGCATGCTATGTTGTGAATCTTATCGTTAGCCTTCCCACATTATCACAATAAATATTGTATTGTGAGGTTCATATTGTGACAATGTCATATTGTAAGATTTGAATATTGTTACGCCCCTAATATTCATCATGAAAGGTTTACAGTTGTCAGTAAACTAGTAGAAGTTGTGAAAAAGAAAAGAAGGAAAATAAGCATCTGCTAAACTGTTGCTGAGGGCAAAAAGAGGGCAGGTGTGTCAGGAAAAGTCTTAATTTATCGTCTCTTCCAGTGATTATTGCATCTACACCATGTCAATGTTTTACAACTTTTATAAAATTTCACTACTGCTATTTTACTTTAGAACAAATTATGTCAGAATTGCATGAACAAAGATGAAAATATACCTCCCACCCCTAGATACGCTGACCTGTTTTGGGTGGGGGTGCAGTGAGGTAAAGAAAAACACACACTGTTATTGAGAATCAAAATCTGTTACTCTTTTTGATTATTAGGTGAATTAGTAGAATGTAGCACTACTTATTGAAGTGTAATCTGTCAGATTTTATTTTTGAAATATATTCCTGAACAGGATTCCACCTGAGGAAGAGCACTTTTGCTGTTATCCAATAAGACACTTGCTGTGAGAAAACATTTTACTCTTCTGTTCTTTCAGTGTTGTTCTGGCTGTGTTTGCGACAGTTTGTGCGGGAAGAATACCTGTGAGCCAAATCTAAATCTGTGCAAATTGCTTAAACTTGCTGATTTTCATTCATTAAGTCACTCATTTGCTTTGTGAATCTCAAACTGCTCCCATACCATATCCATTTGTTAAGTGCTTTTATGACAGCATTACTACTGACCGATTGTTCGCTTTTAGGCATGATTAAAAATGGCAATAGAGCGCACTTGCCTAACTATGAGTTCCTTAGCTTTGGGGGTTCAAATAGAGAACGCCCTATCCCCTGAGGACTTGCAATGTGCCTCAGGGATGGTGAGAATGAGCTGATCTGCAGACGAGGGTGGAGAAGGACAGTGGAAGAGATGAAGCAGCTCAACCAGAGGAGCCAGACCGCTCAAAGATTCTAATGGA